GGACAGATTTGATCTCATTAGGGAGGGAGTTCCACAGCTGAGGGGCCACCGCCGAGAAGGCCCGGTCTCTTGTTCCCACCAAACGCAACTGCGATGGTGATGGGACTGAGAGCAGGGCCTCTCCAGATAATCTTAAGGTGGTTGGGAGTTCATAGAGGGAGATACGTTCAGACAGGTAAACTGTGCCGGAATTGTTTAGGTCAAGGCCAGCACTTTGAATTGTGCTCAGAAGCTAATAGGCAGCCACTGGAGCTGGCGTAACAAGGAGGTTGTACACTACCTGTACCCCACTCCAGTGAGCAACCTGGCTGCCAAGCGTTGGACTAGCTGGAGCTTCCAAACAGTCTTCAGAGGCAACTCCATGTAGACTGCATTGCAGTAATCTATACGGGATTTAACCAGAGCATGGACCACCGTAGCCAAGTCAGACCTCCCAAGATATAGGTGCAGCTGGTGCACAAGTTTTAACTGTTCAAAAGCTCCCCTGACCACTGCCAAGGCCTGGGGTTCCAGGCTCAGCGATGTTCTTGAGGGCCCTCTTTCAGTTTCCCAGATGTGTTCCAACTTGCATCCTACTGCTACAATCTGGGAAATCCTCCTGTCAACAAGAGCTTGGTGGTTGGCTCAAAGTCAGTGTTTTAATTTGGATCCAGGTCTAATTTACCATCTATCCCAATGATAGTATACAGGTAGCTGGTCTAGGCTTATTTTTAATAGCCTCCTCTATTGGCCTTTCTGCATCCCTTTTAACTCACCTGAGTTTGAAAGTGAAGCATTGCCTTCTGTGAGCTTCACCCCCACTCATATGTTTCTTGTTCCCCTAGCATGTTGTGTATATGCGACACTGGAGCCAGTTATGTAAAGAATTTGACTATTGCCAAATACCACTGCTTATTTTCCCAAGGAAAGATCTAATGTTTTTCTCTCGGAAATGTTTTAAGGCAGATTTAAGGGTGTTCCATATAAGGCTCTGTTCACACTGGGGCTTTGTAAAAACCTTCCCTGGCCCCCAGCACACTTTCTGCCCTTCAAAGAAAGCAGCCCCAGCAGCTGGGAACAGTCCAAGCGGACTTCCCTTCATTAATTCTGACATGTGTTGCACAACCAGCATAGGGTTTGTTGAGTCCCAGCTATCATACTTTTGCCCTTCGTAGTTCAGCTAAATTATATGTCATGTTTTTACTGGAAGATAATCTTCTCCGTGTCACTTTGGCCATTGTCAAGTTTCTCTCACAGGTAGCCAGAATAAGAAATCTTGCTGCTGAATCTAGCCTTTGCTTGAATCTATATGTATTTTGCTTAGCACAACTTCTTGCGTTTTAGCCAGTTTATTAATCTGTACACACCCGAGTATCTTTGACAACCAAGTTACCTGGGTCTGTAATAAAACTTGTGACTATCGAAATTTAAGGATTTCCCAATGGACTAAACTTGCTAGATGTTACTTGGGGATCATAGTTCCAGAAGCAGGAGGGATATCAAATTTTTGCTTGCAGGTAAAAAGGCTGTGTGGCTTTGATTTATATTTAATTCATATAATTGTTTGATTGTTATTGTATTTGTTCTGTACTCAATTCTAAACACCCATTTTATGCCACTAGAACATTTCAGGGAGGAGCTCTGCATAAGTTGCTTGCATGACATAACGCGGGTCATCTATCCAATTTGCAAAGTTGTTGTTTGCAATGTTATTGTCTTTTTGCTGGCTGCTTCTTTTTCTGCTATTTCAAAACTTTCAGAATCAGTGTTGCAATTTGCCTTTAGGTTATGTGAAAGAAGAGTTCATGACTACTGGGTTCCTTGTGTGGTCTTAGAAAAATCAACTAGACCCTCTGGATTTAATCTGTCTATTTGACACCTGCACAGTCCAGTTTATCCAAAACATTTCTGAGTTTGAGTACAATGAAGTACTGTTTACACAGGTTTTGCAATTACACAGGATTACATGGGTGTCAGACTGAGGATTCAGATAATCAGGAAATCAGATAACAAAGAATACAAGCCAAGCTAGAAATGACAGGCAGTTGTTTTTCTCTTCTCTTTGTGATTTTGTTTTGTTTGTTTCTAAATACAAAATAGCCTCTGGCAGGCATTATGCCTGAGCAGAAGAATGAAATAATGGAAATAGATTGATAGGAATGCCTGTGGGAACTTGGGTGCCTTCACCGTAGGCTGTACAGATTGGCTGCAATCATATATGGCTTAGTGTAGTATAGGACTTCCATAGGTAGAAATATTTTCAGTTCAGCCATATATCAGCACCACTGTACAGCCTAAAAACCTTTCTTAATGGCTATTCTGTGCCTTGTGGGGAGCTGCCAAGATCAGAGAATCATTTGGGTACTTCTCATTGAGTGACATAAAATGATTACAGCAATACTGATATCTGCTGTGGTCATCTGGAGATCTCAGCATCGATGAAATCATTCACATCTGGTTGTGAGGATACAGCCAGATGCTTCTCTGATCATATCCTCAAAGCACAGAACGGCTGAATAGGGGTGAGTGGCCTTGGAAATTACATAGTAAGTCTAGAGAAGCTTTGGGTGCTGAGGATGAGAATACAAACCTCTGCAGGACCCAAAAAAGGGTGTGCACAGGTATAAGGGAACTAGATGTCCCCAACATAATGTCAGACATAACGTCCCAGTACTACGTGTAACCTATCAGCCACTTATGGGTATCTTTGAGTAAAGATTTATCAGTTGTTTCTACAAATGCTTAGGGGTGTTTCAGAAGACTGTCATATTTGGTGTGAAAGTCAATAGTTTTGGGAAAATTTGTCTAAAATCCCTTTCATGTACTATTACGTATATTCTAGAGCACAATCTGAGTTCATAAATGACCATTATAAGGAAAATAGCCTTTCCCAATTCTACGCCCAGTGTAGAATGATTGTGTATTGTAATCCATTGAAAAAGATGGTGCAGGTCGGGAAGAAGCTAATTTAGTTTGGTAAGGGAGGAAAGATGATCCCATGGGAAGTAATCCTAAAATAACCTGAGCCACTGTCATTTTAGAATTATCAAGAGCCTAGACTGTGTAAGGCTTCAAATGCCATCACCAGCACTTTGAATTCTGACCAGAGGCGTATTGGTATAATCTGATTTCTAATTCTGACCAGAGGCATATTGGTATAATCTGATTTCTAAGATGTTCCAGTTACAATAAAGGGCAACCTCATATAGAGTATATTGTTGTAATTGTTGGGCTTGACCTCATGTAAGTTGCCCCGAGTTCCCTTGGGGAGATGGTGGCAGGGTATAAATAAAGTTTTATTATTATATTATTATTGTCAGGGCTTTACTACTGCAGTATCCCAGGAAAAGCTGTAGTGTTGCAGAGTAAGCACACAACTGATCCTATCCCCACAAAAGTCTATGAAATTCGCTTATTAACAATATTGGCAGTCCCTGATCTTCATCATTTACATTATGATGACTTTTGAAAGAGGATTTCCCTAATTTGCCACTTATATAGTATATATTATTCCTCCAAGTATGTGTTTGGACCCATGCTAATATATGAGGAAATTCTGAGAAAACAGAAGAAATCTGGCTACCAGTATGATTTCTGAATGTGTGTCTTCACGTTGTTTCTGATTAACGGTGGCCCTAAGGTGAAGCTTTCATGGGGGTTTCTTGACAAGATTTGTTCTCAGGGATTTGCCATTGATAATTGGCCAATGGGTTTCCATGGCCAAGTGGAAATTTCAACCTTGACATCAGAAGTCCTACTCTAGTGTTCAAACCACTACACCGGTGTTTCCCAAACATTGTTCTTCCATACATTTTGAACTTTGGCTCCCAGAAGTCCTCACTGTTGACCAAGGCATATAGGGCTTCTGGGAACTGAAGTCCAAAACCGCTGGAGGCCCAAAGTTTGAGCATTACTACACTACACCATGCTAGGTACCTGGATACATATACAGGCAGTTGCTAACAAGGGTGAGAAAATATAGGGAGTAAGAAAAATCTGCCCCTAGGAAGGGAAATTTGCCCCTCAAAGAATTATCATCAGGAAAAGGTGTCTCCACTGAAGCTTCCTCACCAATCCTTGTTTTCATAACAGGCCATGTTTTCAAAACCGAATTATCACAGGAACAAAAAGTGAGGTGAAATCTTCTGAACAGAAGTATAGACAGCATAACAAACACCACAGGGATGTTAATTCTTCCTTCTGCTGTCCAAAAGCCTATATGTATATATGACTGAAGATATATAGATAGATATAGATATAGTTAGATATATGGCTGGAGTTATACTTTTAAAATGTACCTGTTCCATCATACATACAAATTCAGTGTAAGAACAAGCCTACAGAACCTATCTTGTTCATAACTTTGGGACAGCCTGAATTTATATTTTATGATAGAGGGAATGATGGAGGAATGAGTCATGGTGTAAAGTTAGCAGATTGATCTGTTTTCTCACAAAAGTAGAGAAACAACTGCAAAAACTGAAACAGGAGAAAACTACTGAGATTTTGGCATGATTACTTGCTTTGTGAATGATTGTTGAGCTGTGAATATGACTTTGTACAGAGTGCTAGATACAACAGCTAATGTGATGATACTGTGGCCATGTGCAGCATGCATGGACGATATGGAGTTGCCCTTTCGTCCAAGTTGTTCTATTTACACTGTTGGGTGGCTTCAAGGAAGTTAAGCAAGTAGCAGAGCTCATGCCAGTTGACATGTTTCAGCCCTTTATGAAAGCTAATCCATCCAGAAGTCCCAAGGTAGGACATGAAACTTTCATGTGCACATATTTTAAATAACAAGGCTACCGATAACTGGGTGGTTTGTTATTGCGAGCTATTGCCTGTTGTTCAATTAAACAGAAACTAGCATGTAACTTCGTGGTCATTCTGTGTATATATTAAGCAAGTGTTAATGTTTTGCTGATACATTTTCCCCCTCTGTGGCATTATGCAGAAGTGCTGAGCAACTGTATACTTGGCAACAGATCTTAGGCTTACATATTTGTCTGTCACCACAGGATACTTCTTCAGACAGATGACTCCTTGCAAATCCTGGAACCAGTTGAAGCTGACGTAGGCTTCTATACATGCAATGCAACAAATGTTTTGGGATCCGACTCTGTTTCCATTGCCGTCACATTAGCAGGTAACATGTTCCCAGCAAATACTACAGAAGAAGTCTTCCTTATCCTGTTCTTAGAAAATTAAGTACAAATGAGAACCAAGTTAGAATTCAAGAGTTAAAGTGTTACAAATGTTGGGAAAAATGAAAGTAGGTTTTCTGGCTTGAGATTATTTTCCTTCCAGCCTTTTCAATCCTGCGTTTTTGAATGCTACATGGTATCACATTATAAGTGTGACATCTTTAGTCTGTATGTAGAACTTCTGTTCATGTGGTTGAAGTTGTGGCAGCTTAGATAGCTAAAGATACTTCTGCAGTTTTATGGATTGTTTCATTTTGAGTATATTAGGCGAGAGAAGCTCGTACAACACAGGAAAGTAAAGATGTGGATTTCCCCCTGTGTTTCAAGAAAATTATATTGCTTATCCCCAAGATCAGACACTGATTTCACACTCTTCTTTTTGAGTCTCCAAGGGAAGCAATCCAGCAATGAAGTGCCAGATTCTAGAAGTACATCTACACTGTAGAATTAATCTGGTTTTTGACACTAATTTAACTGCCAGGGCTCCATGCTATGGAATCATGAAGTTGTAGTTTTACAGCTCCCATGATCCCATAGCATTGGGAAAGGGAGCTAAAGAGGTATCTCAAACTGCATCCTAGGAGCAGGAAATATTCAATATGTTTTATGCCCAACCATTAAGTCCAACAAGACTCCCCCCGCCCCCCGAACTGCATTCTCCAAGTAATGTATATTCTAATCTCATGGGTGTTCATTCCCTGAGGAGTTAGTAGGTGCATCTTGAGTGATAGGAAGGAGTCTTGAGAAACCAGACAACACTGAAAACATGAGGCTGGTGACTTGAAGTTGGAAACAACCATAGAAAGGCAAGAAGTTCTTGCATTGCACACTGCTGCTAGTTCTTAGTTTAGGACAACTAATCTTACTTTGATTTTGTAGACACTGAACTTCTGACAAAGCCTTTTTGGCATTTGAAAAAGCGAGGTTTTAACTTCAGATAATAATTATTATCCTTCATCTTTTTAGCATGTTTTCACTGACTTCATGTTCTACACCCATATCTTGTCTCATTCTTAAGGCCATATGTTGTCCTCCTAGTATCATGATAATGTATTACTGTCCAAGTGAGGTGCTTTGCTCTTTGCAAATGATAATTTCAGCTAAGGAAATTATACTTAGGTTTGGTGATTACATAAATCTAGAATCTATATTGTATAACGTGGTGCTGATGACTGGACATGAGATTTAAACTGAAATCATATTAACAGTGATTTCATTGGAATCAGTGGGATTCCTCGTGTGCTTGAAATTTAATATTATTTTAAATAATTTGTTAGGCAGCAGTTTAAGTATTAAGTTAACTTATTTCAGGGTCAAACTTTCCCCCTTCCCTGCTGCAGCAAAGGGAATCCAGTCATTTGCAAGTGAAAACTCATAACAGATTAGGTTTCATGTTTACATTTGTCCAGTAATGGTTCACTTCTGTGACAGACTAAATATCCTTTGTTCACTTGGACCAATACTAATGGAAAATTGTCTGGGAAGTAACAATGATGCTAGGAGACCGGGCTTGTTTTTTAGATTTTAAGGAGAGATATTTGGCCAGCAGAGAATTCTAGCAAAATTTGCAGGTAAGGAATGAGAATTTTAAAAAGGTTCTATTGGATGCGACCAGGAGTCCAGCATGAGCAAATGAAGATATAACTCACATGCATTGCTTATTGAAGATACTAAATTAAATCACTAGCATCTCCAGTTCACTTCTGGGAAACTTTGACCTTCCAGATATTTTGGACCACAACTTCTACAGATTCTTCCCAGTAGCTGTTCTGGGTGGGGTTAATTGGAGATGTATGTCAAAACATCTGGAAGGTTAAAGGTACTCAGTCCCTGCTGTGGTCAAAGGGTCCCATTTTAAAACAACTGAGAAGTAGGCAATGTTTGCTAGATGGTCACTGAACATCAGGAGACTCATTATGTATTAGAGTGTATGGGAGTCGTTTTCTACCACTGTCCAGATCTTCCAAAAGCCAAAGTAAAACATAATTGTTACAATATGCTCTGATACACACATTCATTGAAAGCAGTTTCACTAATATGCAAAGAACTTTGAATATCATAGAGTAGTGGTTCCCAAACTGTGTTCCATGGAACTGTAGGGTTCCACAAAAAAAAAACAACCACGGGGATTTCACGAAAAATCTGATCTAAAACATATGTTATATATTGTACAAGTCTGCTCTGCAGTACTGCAGGAACCACTAAAGATGGCAAGGAAACCAAATACAGCAGGAGTTCTACATTCGCTGCAATTAGGTCTTAAGAACCACATGAAAAACCATGAATAAATAGAATACCAGAGATAATATCTTCCTAGGATTCTCTAGGTCTTCCAGCACAAATCTGCGATCAGCATTTGGGAGAAGACTGCCATGAACTCTCTCTATAGTGCCTAGAGATCCTGAGAGAGAAGATACTGATTAATTCCATGAATAAATCAGAAAAAGTTAAGCCTATGGATTTGGGGGGCTGGCAGTATTAACAAGTTGGTGCTGTGTCAAGAGAAGTTAAGAGAAATGACTAGGCTTTCCTCTAGTTATTGCATGTGGTGGGCATATATATATATATTACTTCTGAACACAGCAGTTTTATTGGGTTATTAGAAATGAGTTTTTTTATTTTTGGTTTTTTTGGAGTTTTTGTGGCAAGATGGCAGCAAGGTGTGAAGGAGAGGAAATTAAAAAGAGAGAAGCATAAGAATCCTAACATAAACAGTAGCAGAGCTTTAAAAAATTTGGACTATAAGCTCTAGAATCCCCACCAGCAGCATATCCAGTATCAATTATGGGAGTAGTTCAAAAAGTAACTTCTACTGTACAAGCTCAAGGTGGTGGTAGATGCTATTCATGTGTATCACAAAGTGTGAAACTCCATTGAGGATGGACAAGTAGTGAGGTAGGGCACATTGTCACATGGGGAACTGCATCATAATACTACGGTGGTCAACCACAACGACAGCATGAATAGGGAGAGATGGTTGTGGCATTGTTGACGTTGATGATACTAAAAATGAAAATAGAGGAATGTTTATCCTGTGGGTCTAATCTTGCTAAGCAAAAGTTGGCAAAGTGGTTGAAGAACTTCCTGGCTCACTCTTTTGTGGGCTATCGAGCTCAGGACACACAAATCCCGGCTGTTACCTCTAATCTTCTCCTTTCCTGCCATTACCCCCCCCCCCCTTTCAAAGTAATGTTTGGAGATAACTCTAAAATATATTTCAGCATTATCCATCCAAGCTTGCACCCCACTGTCTTTTTTCATGACCAGGAGATCAGAAGCATGTGAACTAACATTTGCTATTTCAGCCAAACCAGGATCTGCACTACGTCTGTGTTATGATTTATCTCAGAAAGTAGAAGCCATGGTTTAATCCTGCTTTGTTTTAGACAGACCACAATTTGAGCTAACTACATTTTCCTGATTTGAATGCAATGGCAGGCAGCTGAAAATAGAAACACATACTTCCAATCTCATAGTCAAACCAGAAGAAGAGGAAGTACACACACACACAAGGCTTATTCCTAGAAGCTTATTCCTTATTAAACCTGATTTAGTTACTAAATATTGATTTTTCATCCAAATGTGATTCATGGTTTTCTTTTTTATGCCTGCTTTGGAATACTTTAAATAAATGGTACTATAGTTCGCTCCCCTTACAAAAATCAAACACAAAGAGAATTAAGGTGTGATTTTGTTTCTGTTAAAATGACTAGAATATAAAACACTGGACTAATTCATCCATTATAGAGTTCTCCTAAAAATAGACCACAGAAGTGGATTTAGTACTTTAAAGCTTAGCATGTTGTTATGTGGCAGCAGTCTGGCTGATAAAGAGTCTTTATAGTTTGTTCTATTCCCAATGGATAACTTCTAAAAGCAATATATATCAAATAGCATATTGAAAGAAAGCCTATTCATTCCAGTACAGTCAACTTTACACCTTTGCTAGGATTAAAGGTGCAGGACCCCCATGAAAGTGAAAATACCACAAAGTAAAACAAAAATGTTTTTTTACCCAAGAAAACACCTCTCTAGGAATCTCCATGTCCTCCGACACAACTTCTGCTGGAAGTTGACCAGAGTTGGGCTGGAGGACCACAAGATTCCTAGAGAAGTTTTCTCTACAGAAATCTCCAGGTCTTCCAACACAACTCACACTGGAAGATGTAACAATTCCTAGAGAGATCATATTAATCAAATATGTGACTAATCAGATTTGCAAAAGTTCAACCCAGAAAAATGGTGGACCAATTGCAACAGTTTTCGTCTAAATCATTTTATCGAGACTAATCAAGCAAAGTCTGCTATGTTTATCACACCTATGTCCCAGATTAAGGTTAGCAGATTAGACGCATCCCAATATAACAAGAACAGACTGCACATGTGGACACCTTCAAACTGGGCAAATGAAGCCTAGTAGAGGCAATCCCCAAGTTGCAGATGCAATAGGTTCTGTAGGTTTGTTCTTAAGCTGAATTTGTTTGTCAGTCGGAACAGGTACATATTAAAGTATAACTCCAGCCAAATAGATAATGTCTTTAGTTATACTCATTTTCTGTCCCTATGATAAACTGGATTTTGAAAAAAAAATTGGCCTGCTGTGGAAATAAAAGATTAGTGATAAAGCTTCAGTAGAGATACCTTTTCCCCACTATAATAAATCTTCCAGGGGTCAATTTTCCTTCCTAGGGGTAGATTTTTTCACATCCTTTTGTCTCACCCCCATTCTTCACTATGAGTTGTTTGTAAGTTGGATGTTTACGTAACTCAATTACCACAGGGACAGAAAGTGGGGTGAACAGGGGCACAGAAAGCAAACAAACCCCTTTGCTATCCAAGGCTAAAAAATATACATTCTTTGGCTGGAGTTACACTTACAAATGTACCTGCATTGACTTACAAACAAATTCAACTTAAGAATAAACCTACAGAACCTATCTTGTTTGTATCTTGGGGACTGCCTGTACTTCGTTGTGCTGTTTATTGCTTTCCTATTATATTTTGTTATGATTTTGGGAGAAAAATACCATGTGGATTGATTAGAAAATGCCATAAACCTGGAATTTTTTTCAAAATGCCCTTTAAAAGGACCATTTTGAAAGCAACTAGAAGAAATTACTCAAAGAACCAGTGACATCTCTTCACTCCTATTTATTCCATTGCTTATGAAATGTGATTCCATTATATTCTTATTGTCCTTTTAAAACTAACTAAGGATAACTATTTCAGTCATAAGTCATTACTGAGAAGTTCTGGTTTTCAGTAACCAGCAAATATTTTTCTAATAGAAAAACCCATGTCTTAATTTCATTTTCTCATGCAAACAAATTAGCAAATATAAACCTTCCGGACCACAATTCCTAGAGATGCTTCATCTGTCAAACCGAAACTTAATTCAGTCATTCAATAGTTTGGAATCTGGAGACCAAGTTGTATGGAAGTGATAAAATACAGTTTTTTTAAAAGCCCACCAGCTCCACCCTTTTTGGGAAATGAAGGCCTGAACTCTTCTATATAGGAAGTGGGTACGCTTTGTTCACTCTAAATGACACACTCGGCCTCTTTGATGAATTTAGCACATGAAAACTAAGAGGGAAAATGTGGTTCCATTTTGGAATCATTCCCTGCTTTTTATAGGCTGAGCAATGAATAGATATTTAATCTAATGGGAAGATATGGGAAGGCAATAAGAGGCCAATTGCCGCTTGGAGTCTCTCTTTCCTCCTCCATGATTTGGGGACACCCAGTTGAAAACTCAGAGGATTGTGAACTTTTCGTGACTGAGGGGAACATGTTGTGGTGGGAAACTCCTTCACTTTGACTTGTAAGGGATACAAGGATGCAGCCTGCAAAAGAACCACTGAAGTAAACAAACGTCTCAGCTGCAGCGCTAGGTGGGCTACTCCCAGAATATGTGGATTAATACCCTGCCAATTCCACATGAGCACATGTTAGCTGTCATGGCAGTTTATGGATTTTAATTAGCAGCAGTTGAATTTGGGGTGTGGGGGCAGAGGGGGGAGGAGGGGAGCAAAGCCAAATTTCCATACTTTTCTTTGATGCCGCCAACGAAAGCACCCGTAATTCTTCCTTCTTCTCCTCCTCCTCCTCTTCCCTCTTAACTTCCACCCATTTTCTGCAAGCCAACTCTCTTCCTCTCCCTGCCACTGTAGATTTATAGCTGGATTAATTCACAGGCATTATAGACTCCTGTCTTGGGCCGGAGCCCATGGATCACACGACAACATCCATTTCTTCTTCCACTGGCCCATGAACAAACCCTCTTCAGGGAAAGGCTTGTGTGCAGAACCTATCTCGCATTGACACTGTCAGATGTAGCCTGGCTCTAGTACAAGAAGATAACATAACTGTAATGGAATCTGGTGAGGAGTCGTGTATTTCTAGTTTGTTTGTGTTCCCCCTCTTTCTCAGCAGCAGTGAAACTTTCTGTGATTCAGTGAACTTTGCAGCCTTTCTTTCACACAAAAGCAGATCAAAACATTATTAAGGGAATGGAAACAAAGAAAGGAAAATTCAAAAATTATCAGGATGAGATATAGATTCGTAATCAGCGACTACTGATGCCTGGTTGCAGCTGCAATTTTTGCACTGTTTTAAGTGGCAAAGCCTAACCATCCAACGGTCCCAATTTTATTCTCAGATTGTCCCACTTTTTCATCCGCATTTAAAATATCCCAGTTTCTCTCTCCTCCTTCCACTTTCGCCTTGTGTCCTTAGAGTACCTCAACTGCAACAAACTGAACTGAAAGTACAAAAGTAGTTCTGCTCAATTAACTTGGCAAGGGACACAATCTTGACCTTCTCTGTAGGCTCAGGCAGAAGTAAAGTGCCCAGGTTGTGTGTTCTTCCTTATTAATAGCTTTTATCATTTAATTACACTCTGATATTGTTTAGTCACACATGTCCCAGTGCTCAAGGATATTCAGAAGAGAGCAGGCAAAGTTATATTTTTGTAATACAATTCCTGGAATCCTGCAGACAACATGTCCAGGCAATTCTGGAAATAGTTTCTTTAAAAAGAGAGAAACTTCTAATTCTGTAATGGGTTTAAAAATAAATAAAGATATGTAGCTATGCTTTTATTTTGTTTCTTTCCTTTTATGCTTTATAACCTGTGGTGCCTTGTCCTTATAGGGAAACCATTGATAAAGACGTCACGGACCACCTTAATCAACAAAGACTTCCCTGCCATCACAGTTGATATTGGAACTACAGTGAAAACAATTCCAGGAACAAATGTGACCATTATCTGTCAGGTTGCAGGTGAGAGACAGCATTACGCATGTGCAATAAGCATGCTTGGAATTGTGTATTTACATTACATGATTTCTGTCTACAAGTGTCTCAGTGCTACGTGGTTGCCTAGTTTTACTCTAAGAGTGGTCAATGACAAAATGTTCTACAGCTCCTTTGTTGCAATAACTACTGATTGCTGGTCTGTTGCTGAATAAAGTGCTGGTTATTACTTTAAAAATGTATATGGCTTAGATCAGTGGTTCTCAACCTGTGTGGTCCTTAAACTTCCAGAAATCCTAACAGCTGGTAAACTGGCTGGGATTTCTGGGAGTTGTAGGCCAAAACACCTGGGGACCCACTGGTTGAGAACCACTAGCTTAGACGAAGTCTATTTGATAGACCATTCACATTCGAGGTTGCTTGTATTTTGAGATCTTTTGAGGGGCCCTGCTCTCTGTCATGCTTTCCTTATTGGTACACCTTGTGAGAACATGGGGCAGGACTTCTAAAATCATCTTGTGTCCCAGGGTGGGAAAAAAGTGGGATAATAACAATAAAAATAATCAATGATTATGTTGACAATGATGAGACCAGCTCATAGGTTTGGGGGAAGATGTATGTCACCATCCACTTCATCACATGGGCTTCCTTACCTGTCCTAGGATGCTTCCAGAACAGTTTGGGGATGGAACCAACCGAATCTCATCAAATGACACACATCTACTTCGAATGGGACTCTGTCCCTGATCTGTGCTGGAAGTATCTTACGATGGAGCAAGGAGAGCATGGGAGGCTTCCCAAGTTCTCTGTGTCAGCAACAGGGACACTGCGGGAGGAAGTCGGGCAGCTTTCCCCCATGTGATAGCGATGACATCACTGCGGGCTATGCAGGGCTCGGGGCGACGGATTCCACCACTGCCCCACAGATTTGCCACAATACCTGTTGAATCTGCCCACCTGTCACACATATACAGGCACTTAATGTGATGAGGTCTTATGACATACTGCAATGGGTTGACACCAATCCTAGTGACAGTACTGGTTGCACTGAGAAGCTTAATGCATAACCCCCTTATGGGGTTATGCATTATTTGACCATAACTTTTTCCCTTCATTTTTTAGTTCTGTTCAGTTATATGCATGCGCAAGTCTTCTTATTTTTTACTTTATATATTTTTTAAGATTTCTAATTTTTTTGTAACTCTGAGATTCATTTGCACAAGCGTGTCCCTCCCTCTTGTTGCTGAGTGGCACTGTTTAGATGCAAATCTGTCGGCACCTTGGGACTCACTTCAGCATTCTAAGAAGTTATATATGTAGCTATAAATCAGAGAACCTTTGTATGCAGTCAGATCGCATTGCTGACTATAGATGGCAAAGAACCACAGGCTCTGTGATTATGTAGCCAGCAGAAGGAAATTCTTGGCTGTGCTTTTGGTACTTGCTTCTTGGATCACAGCCAGTATGTGTAGATTAATTGAATAACAAGTGGAAAGTGTGCCCAGCATCCAATCTTTTTCGTGAATAAATGAATATAATTGGCAGGTCAATGAGAGAGAGAAAATGATGGAGATGTGTGGATATGCTCTGAAAGATGATGTGTTTGAATTGCACTCAGTTTCAACTTCATAGGCAACACAGAACCATATAAACTTATAGGAGTTGTATTTGAGGAGAACAGTGGTTAAAAGTAGAGCTGAAAACTTCACACTTTCAAGCAATATAATCCTTGAACATGAATGTGCCCTTAATTACAAAAATAAAATGGGCTAGTTAACCTAGGACAAATGTCAACTTGATAGAGCCAAGGTAAAGTTACCTACATCCATAACGTCACCCAACAGAATATTACAGTGAAGGTGATACTCATGAAGTCCAGGGATGGAAGACACATGGCTTTCCCAATGTTCTTGGACTGCAACTCTAATTGTTCATCATTGGTAATGCTGGCTACGGCTTCTAGAAGTTGTAGTCCCAAAATATCTTAAGGGTCACCATCTCTTCCCCCCCTGATGTAGTCCTGTGTCCTCTTATATAAATGCAGCTCACTTATTATACATTATCTGGCTGTCTTCCACGTTTCACTACATGCACAAAATAGGCTTTTACGCAAAGAGTGGAACCAATGAAGGAAGCTGTTCATAGACTATCACAGCTGACCTTGTGTGGTGATGGGGGACAAGTACTGCAAAAATGAGACCCTTGATGCGGTCTGAACTATAAGTATCCTCTTACATAAAGTATATCTCAGATGATGTAATGCAAAGGCAATGTAATGAAAAGGTGGGGAACCATTAGCAAGTTTATTTCCTCCGCTTTGATTTATAAAATTAATGCAAGCTGTGGGTAAGCTTTGTTCTTTACAATACTGTGGTGAAAAATATACAGTTCTGTGTCATTTCTGCCTTGCATGGTCACAATAGAGTTCTCTGTTGATAAGCTCTTGCCTTTTAATTTCCCATTTTACTTCACTCACCTTCCACCTGATGAACACATGCACATGTGATCCTCACATGTAGTTCTTATACATTACTGTTTTATCATTTTACAAGGCATACATGGCACCATTCCATTGAAATGAAGATGGTCCTCTTGGTGTGTGTTATAACGTGCTCAGAAAGGATCACGAGTCATTATTGCTCTCTCTTGGGATTAACAAAAGAAAATGGCGGTATTGTTCTTCCTTCCATCAGAGCATTTAGAGATTAAATACTGTAATCCTCTAGCCATCTGGAACCAGAATCCTATACAGTCATATTGATTTCCAGGAATCAGGTGGAAACTGGATGACACTTGCAGTGCACCTGTGAGGCCACCTGCAATGTTGAACTCAAGTATTAAATGCACTCAGAGTGTCTTCAGTTTTGGGGCATTTTTTTAAGATGTGGTGCTTCTTAGGAAAGACATGAGAAGACATTTTGCCAGTTTCTTAGTGATAATTTTGTTATGCCAATTCTCTAGTAATGCAAAGTGAAATGATCACTTTAGGCAGCAAATATTGACATATAGCAGCGAAGTCTTGGAGGGGGTTGTTTTGCGACCTGTAAAGTCTTGGCTCTGCCTTCTCCTCTCCTCTGCTTTAGTTCCTGTTTATAGGCCTTCCCAATAGTATAGATAACTTCCTTTGTATTAGTTTTTGGGTGGAGCTTAAAATCCCCCCAGAGGCCCATCTTAGCTGGTCTATTCCATTTCCCTGCACAGAGCTCTTTGCTGGACTCTTCCTTCTTTTCTACAGCAGAGCTACTGTGACTTAGGCTTGGGATTGTCTGGAATCCTAGGCCTAGCAATCCAAAACAGGCATTCTTAGCACCTGCTGCTACAATCAGCAATATTATTATACCAACAGTCCAAAAGACAACAGAAGCTTTTGGCAAGCCTAAGCTTCACAGGAGAGTGGATTAAGACAGTTTATAAACCACAATTTATAATCCATCGCTTTACACCAGAGGCAAAAGATTTTCAAAGATTCTAGAAAGATACTACAACCAGCAAAATCTCCTTTTGTAATGTATTGTTTTAAGTTATCTTATTATAGTCCCGGGTAAACCCTTTATTCATCTTGTTTCAGTAAACTCATTTGGTTATCTTTTTTACCTTACCTAAAGTTCCTATGTCTGTTAAAGGTCTTAATCTTAACAGAAGGTATCAATCAGATAGCCCCCGTGTAAAGCCAGACAATATAGTTTTCCTAAAGGCTTGGGTGTGCCATCACACCACCCCTCCCATCAGAGTTAAACTGGTTCCTTTGTATGTAGTGAATGAGATTGCCCATTGCAAGCACTGGAGAAAGAACTCACTCCCAGCACAACTGATTGTTGCATGAAATAGTGTTTCTTAGGGCCCTTTAACACTACAGTAATAGCACATTTATTCCTATTTAACAGCCACTGTGCAATTGATGGTACATTTAGAATGTCAGAGCCAGTGAGATGTAGTGTTGGACTGTGATTCTGGAGCTCAGGGTTTGATTTCGCACTCAGCCATAGAAACACATTGGCCTCCGCAGCCCCCATGTTTGTGTTGCCATAAGTCAGAAATGACTTGAAGGTACACAACAACAGTGATGTAAAATGCCAGGCCGTTCTAGTCCCTTGCCAAATTACAAATCCCAGGATTCCCTAGGATGAAGCCCAGGCAAAGTATATTCGCAGTGTTATAACCGAGCCTCATGCAGTGGACTGTTTGGGGTCAGCTTTGGTGCAGAAGCTCATCATGACAGCTGTTACAGCCACACTCATAAGAGGAATCTTTAGTCATGCACTATCACAAAGAGTGTGTGAGAGAAACACCACTTTTCTGCTATTTTGGCTCAAAGAGGTTGACACTCCAGGTGCAAATTCCATCATAGAGTGTTGAGATCCAAAACAACAAACAAAGCAGCAATAAAATCTCAGTGTTGAATTTACAATCTATGGCTGCAGATGTATGTTAGTTGCCTGGGAATAAGCTTCATTGAATTCACTGGTGCTGATTTCCGACTACATAGGTCCAGCCTGTAAAACTGTGAGGGTTAGAAGATCTCCCTCCAGTTAGCTGAAACACAACCTTCAACTTTTCATGAGAAATGCAAAGAATTGTGCAAAGAAGGGCAGTCACTTAGCATACATTAGCAACCCTGGCACTATGGCAGATTATGCTATCAGTCCCAAACCCCTATGCTTCCCTTCCACTACTCAATGACAGTTAGTGTTGACCCTTTCACACAATTATAACAGCGATTCCACTTTAATTACTATGGATACATCCTGTATAATACTGTGGTTTGAAATTTGATAAAACACTAGAGATTGGAATTCTCAGTACCTTTCCCTAAACTTGTGTTCTGCTAAAGCAGTGGTTCTCAATTTGTGAGTCCCCAGATGTTTTGGACTTCAACTCCCAAAAATCCTAACAGCTGGTAAACTGGCTGGGATTTCTGGGAATTGTGGGCCAAAACACCTGGGGACCCACAGATTTAGAACAACTGTGCTAAAGCATCTATGGTTTAAATGGAAACACAGTACTTGCCCTCCTCCTTTTCATGTTTT